TAACATCTGCCGTTTTTCATCCAGCCTCAAATGGACAAGCGGAAAGATTTGTAAGGATATTCAAGACCGCCATGAAAAAAATATTGGCTGATGGTAAAAACATTAATGACGCCCTGTTAATATATTTAACATCGTATAGATCCACACCGACTTTAAAAGGAAAATCATCATCGGAGTTATTACATAATCGTCAACCTCGGACTATGTTATCACTTTTGCAACCATCTAGAGTCTCTAAGCCTACTTCATTGGATAAAAACAAAATTTGTAGCTAACCAAAAGGTCTATTTTCTAAATTTTTCCAGAGGAAGTAAATCATGGAATAAAGGAGTAATTGTGAAACCCATCGGAAGAATAATGTACCTAATACACAGAAATGGGAAGAAGGTAAAACGTCACCAAAATCAAATCCGCGCACAACATGTGGCTGAGAACAGTTCTCAATTTTTGTAAGCCTCTCAACTACATTCATTCATTGGGGGAAAATCAATTTCATCTGCAATGCCTTCCCCAATAACTTCCGTTCCATCTGATCATACGAGTTCTGCATTTCAACCTCGTTCTTCTCCACAAGATTTTTTAAGGCCATCTGTAATACGGAAGTCAACTCGTCTTAAACGCAAGCCAGATTTTTATAAACCAGAAGTTTTCAAAAAATTGGCGAGGAGAAAATGATATGTTTTTACTTTGTTAAAAATTACTTGTTGATCTTCAGTTGATCTTGCTAACTTTGGAGAAAATGATTGTCTTAAAAATTTTCTATATTGTTTGATATTCAGTCTGGAAATAAACTTTACTTGAAACGTTTTAGTACCTCTAGTAAAACCGTCGTCAACTGAGGAAGAAAATGTGGTTTTGAAGACAGAAGTGTGCCTGCCAGCTCGCTCCGACTGTTTTGTTAATGTACCCGGCCGTGTAGCTAACCATTGTGAGAATCTGTTAATTACACGAACAGACGAAAGTAAACTACCTGATGGCGTGTTTATTGGTCGCACGTTAGCAAGCTCGAGTCAACTAGATTGGCCAGTGAGACTAATAAACACGAATTCTTCAACGGTTAAGCTTCCGGCTGAAACAGTGATTGCTAAAGCGTACGAAGTAGAGATGGTGGCTGCGACTTCGGGCGAACCAGTTTGGTGCTGCATGAAATACATACGGGCGAAGCAGTTCCCATTCGACAAGCACCACGACGCGAACCTCTAGCAAAGCGTGAAGTTGTAGGTGATTTGGTAGCTCAAATGGCGTCCAGAGGCGTGATTGAAAAGTCAGCCAGCCCTTGGTCATCCCCAGTCGTCCTGGTGAGGAAAAAGGATGGCTCACTGCGATTTTGTGTAGACTACAGGCGTCTAAATGACGTAACCCAAAAAGATTCGTACCCCTTGCCCCGTATGGACGACATCTTGATAACGTTGAGTGGTTCTCAGTGATTCTCGACCATGGATCTGCAAAGCGGTTACTGGCAGGTTGAAATGCATCCCGATTCGAATTCTAAAACTGATTTCACCTGCGGAGCGGGGCTATGGCAGTTCAATGTGATGCCTTTTG